GGTTTTCAAGTTGTGGCCTTTCAGAAGCAAATAGCCAGGTCTGTCCCTGATGTACTTCTGAGTGAGTTTGAACGAACAACCTTTCAGCTAGTAATCTAGTGCTTAACCTTTTAAGAGGCTAGCTGGATAGCACTGGACTTCAAACCACTAGATTGGCAGTTCAATCCTAGCTGTTCCTTGGTAAAACCTGTACTAAGTCACTATAAGTCAGAACCAACTCGACATCACTTAACAACAGCCATACCGATGGTATTTGACTTATAGCTTACTCTGGTAGCATAGTGGTTACGAGTTGGGCTGCGGACCACAAGGTCAGCAGTTCGAAACTACCAGCTGTTCCGTGGGAGAAAGATGAGGCTTTCTGCTCCTGTAAAGATTTACAGCTTCGGAAATCCTGTAAAGGGTCACTATGAGTCGGAACCAACTCAACGGCACATAACCACCACCACCTTGTATTACCAGGATTTTATCTTCCTTTCTGCATTTTAATCTGAGTAACCAGGGAATTCTGTACAGTACTTCCAGAGCATCTGTCCACACACCTGGCACTCAGTAGGTGTGTATGACCTTGATCTTTGTATAATTTGGACTTCTTGACAATAAGCATCTGTGTCATTATATGATCGTCTTCCTGATGAGGCTTAATTGGTAACATTCACAGGAAGAACAAGAGGATGAACTGAGGCTTTAACGTGAGACAGTTGTACTCATGATGAGGGTGGGGAATATGTTTCCAGGTGTTTCATTTTAAGGAATGTGGCCTCACTTTGTCTCTTCTTGGGGACTGCTTTAAGAAATGGGGAAGGGACGAGTTCCAAGCCTCACTTTAGTAGAAGAGGCCCGAGGGATATTAACTCTGGCCCATAGTAATCCGTGCCTTTGCTAACTTCTTTCACACTTACTTTCCATTCTGCACAATTAGGACATTATTATAGTAAGGCTGTTTCTACAAATGGGTTGTATATGTATGCTTTCTTTCCAACAAATTATAAGATCCTCGTGAGCTGTACGGTATTACATACTTCTTTTGAACTCAAGTGGCAGGTAGCTCAGTACTAGGCACCTAAAAAGCAATGTATTTCATTGTAATTCTGGTCATGGTTCCATGAGATCTAGATGTGATTGTCTTTTACAACTCTTGTGAGAACTCACCAAAGTGGCAAAGAAGCCAGGTCTGCCCGGAATTTTTCAGGAAAGGTGTTACAGTTGTTTTTTCTTTCCCTGAAGTACATCTTTTTTTCCCCAGTGTTTCCCACTCTGAGAAATGTCCCCATACTAACAATCCCCACACATGGAATTTGGAACATTACATAACTTTACATGACTATATAGACTCTCTTCATTTGAATGATTTTTTTAACGAGCCCTTTGGGCCAGTGTCAATAAGTCATGAAATACTAGCTAATGGACCATCTCCACCAGCCTTGTGAAGCTCATATGCGCTCCAGTCTGTCAAGCTGGCAGGAACTTACAGAAAGGATCTCCCATTGCCCTGACTTTTGCTGTTCCTGTTCTGGGGACTGTCAGACGCCTTGAGACGCTGGGGCAGTCAGTCCATTACTTTTAATGAGCAAAAGCTTCACCAAGACATTAAACACAAAACAAAACACCAGTGGGCAGCCTTGGATGTTCCTTCCAATTATTGCTTTAGCTCTTTTTCCATAGGATTATTCAAAAACAAAGAGGGGGGAAAAAAAGCCAAACTTACTCACTCCTTCAATTTTATCCTAAGTCTATCTGGCTTTGTAAAGCTAACACACCCTGAACTAGGTTTTTTGGTCCTTCAGGTCTGTGTGGGTTATTGCTTGACATTTGTGTTAAAAATGACATTACTTGACTGGTCATATGTTTGAACGTTATCTGCCTTTTGGATATAATAAAGAAATAATGACTATCCCAATAGTACATAATATATAAATAGCTACTTTCTGAAAAGGGTAGAGTTGTTATTTCAAACTACAAGCCAAGTGCACTTACTTTTATCAGAATTGTTAAATTGATAGCTCTCTGTGGCATAAACTATAAGGATTTTATTAGGGGTTACTTGCATTTCCATCAATTGTAGAAAGCCGGACAATGATGAAGCAAGCACTGAATAATGTCCCCATTAAACTGATTGGTGGCTGTTTTCATCTCCTGACCATGACCATATGGATTTGGAATTACTTTGGGCAGCTTCTTTTTCTTTAGGAAATGAGCAGATGAATGAGAACTTTCATTACTCAACATAGCTTGTGTTTGTGGAAGACCAAGTTCATCAAGTTATTTTAAAGAAAAACTGGAGTGTGCCAAATGTAATTTGTTGAGGGCTCAAGAATTGTGAAATTATCCCTAACCAAAGTTTGTAATTTCTGCAGGTGATAGCTCTAGCAGATGCAGTAGAGGAAAACCAAGACAATCTGTTCCAGTCATTCACCAGACTGAAAAGTGCCACCCAGTTGATAATTCTGCTGATCGGCCTGTGGCAGAAGCTTGGTGCTGACCAGATTGCTGTTCTGGAAGCGGCATTTCTGCCACTGCAGCAGGACACTCAGGAATTGGTAAGGACCCACAAAAGCTTAAGTGGAAACAGTCATTATTTAAGGGATGTTGGGTTTATGAAGATACCACAGGTCTATCGTGTACTGTAAGGTACCAAATGAAGACTTGGCTGTTTTTTGTTTTTTTAACACAAAAATACCATTTTCCTATTTTTTAGAGCATAATAAAAATGTCAAATTAAGACCTTCTTTTCCCTAGAGCTATTTTAAACGGAGGTATTATAGTCCATTTTTATGTGGTATCCAGTCTGTTTTTTTATGTGCTCTTCAATCACTTAGAAACCAGAGAAATAGTCATTTGATGGTCTGACTGATGGCAGTAAACCTTCAGATTAGCTAATCCTTTCTTTTTCTACCAGAAAAAAAGTTCAGCCATTTTTATTTGCTCAACATTCTTAAATTTAATGTTGCTTCAAGGATTAGAACTGAAATAGGGCTGGTAAATAACAGATAATCTTTATATTTAGGTGGTACTTTATAATATAAATTATTTGCCCTTAAGTAGGCAGTTTAGAATGAGAGGGTGAAAAATTCTGAACTTTTGATAAATGATTATTTAGACAAACATTTCAGGTGCTCTGAATCCCAGATGCCTGTGTGATACCACGAGGTGATATTTTCGAGGGGCTGTTCACATGCTTTTATTTAAAAAGAAAAAAAAAAAAAATACATATCTTGAGATTTAAAAATGCTAGAACTTACCTTTTGTACTTGTAGAGACCTAAAATATAACCTAGATATGAGAACATGGTACTTAAAAATAATAAATAATAATTACACTAACAACTTTTGGAGTGCTTACTCTATACAAGAAGGTAGCCTTGGTAGCATAGTGGGTTACACATTGGATTGTTAACCAAAGGTCAACAGTTCAAATTCACCAGCCACTCCATGAGAGGAAGATAATGCTTGTTGCTCCCGTGAAGATTTACAGCCTCGGAAACCCTTTACATGGTCACTGTGAGTTGGAAATGACTCAGCGGCACCCCCTCCCCCATTGAAACTCTATACTAAGTACTTTTTTTGTTCCACAGGAATATTTCATTTAACCTTAAATTTCTCCCTACAATGTAGTTATGAATCCTGGTGCAGCACTGCAGGATAAGCATTGGATTGCCGCTCCTCGGAAACATATACAGTGTAGCTATGAATTTCACCCACCACTCGTATGTCAGTTTGTGGTTCTGTGATGGCTTGTGTGTTGCTGTGATTCTGGAAGCTATGCCACGGGGATTTTAAATACCAGTAGGGTCACCCATAGTGGAATGGTTTCAGCTGAGCTTCCAGAAAGATAAACTAGGAAGAAGTAGAGATGGACTATGTCTGACTATTTAGTCACTGAAAACCTATGAATAACAGTGGAAAGCTGTCAGCACCAGAATATTGAATAGTGAAACATGATGAATAGCACCAAAATATTATCAGATATGGTGCCAGAAGATGAGCCCCTCAGGTGTTGGAAGGCACTCAAAATACGACTCGGGAGGAGCTACCTCCTCAAAGGAGAGATGACTGTGATGACACGAATGTAGTAAAGCCTGTGGGACCTTCATTTGCTGATGGGGCACAACTCAAAATGAAGAGAACTAGCTGTAAGCATCCATTAATAATCAGAACATGGAATGTATGAAGTATGAATCTAGGAAATTGGAAAGTATTAAAAATGAAATGGAACGTAAACATCAATATCCTAAGCATTGTTGTTGTTGTTAGGTGCCATCGAGTTGGTACCAACCCATAGCTACCCTATGCACAGCAGAACGAAACACGCACAATCCTGGGCCAACCTCACTACTGTTGCTGCGCTTGAGTCCATCGATGCTGCCACTTGGCCAATCCATCTCGTTGGGAGTCTTCCTCTTTTTCTCTGACCCTCCACTTTACCAAACATGATCTCCTTCTTTAGTGACTGGTCCCCCCTGGCAATATATCCGAAGTATGAGAGACAAAGTTTGGCTATCTTGTACTCCAAGGTGCTCTCTGGTTGCACTTCTTCCAAAACAGGTCTATTGGTTCTTGTGGCAGCCCACGGAACTTTCAATATTCTCCCCCAACACCATAACTCAAAAGCATCAGTTCTTCTATGGTCTGCCTTATTCACATGCATTGAAAATACCATGGCTTGCGTCAGGAGCACCTTAGTCCTCAAGTTGACATCTTTGTTCTTCAACACTTTAATGCAATATGTCCCTAATGCAATATGTCATTTGATTTCTTGACTGCTGTTTCCATGAGTGTTGATAGTTGATCCAAGAAGAATGAAGTCCTTGACAACTTCAATTTTTTCTCCATTGA